CTAGGGTCTGGGCTGGGGAGGAGCCTGCAACCTATTTACTTTCCCTTGACTGGAATTGAACCCAGCACCCTTGCATCTGCAGGCTGACTTTCTATGTATTGAGTCAAACCAGTTAGGGCTGTGTTTAAGTCTTTAATCCATATTGAGTTGATTTTTGTGCGTGATGCAAGATAGTGATCCAGTTTCAATCTTTTGCATGTGGTTGTCCAGTTTTCCTACCACAATTTATTGAAGAGAGTATTTTTTCCCCAATGGAATATTCTTGACTCCTGTGTCAAAAATTAACATTATACTTGTGCATTTATTTTTGAGCTCTTTATTTTGTTTCATTGATCTCTGTGTATTTTTATGCCAATGCCGTATTGTTTTTATTACAATAGCTATGTAATATAGTTTGTAATCAGGAATTGTGTTATCTCCAGCTTTGTTCTTTCTCAAGTTTGATTTGGTTATTGAGGGTCTTTTGTCTATCAGAGTATTAACAGCACTCAATATACCAGTATAGCCGAAACCGGTTTGGCTCAGTGGATAGAGCATCGGCCTGCAGACTGAAGGGTCCTGGGTTTGATTCTGGTCAAGGGCATGTACCTTGGTTGCAGGCACGTCCCCAATAGGGGGCGTGCAAGAGGCAGCTGATCGATGACTCATTGATGTTTTTAACTCTATCCCTCTCTCTTGTTCTCTGTAAAAAATCAATAAAATATATTATATATAAAAAAGAATATACCAGTATACCACAATTATTTATAAGACAGAATTACAAGACAAACTTTGATATTTAATCCTCAAATTGATTGTGATCCTCTTCAGGGTGGTTGATATACCAACATATATATTTGAATGAGTACCCTTTCACTTAGGGTTTTGTTTAGTTGGGCTGGTCTTGCAAGAGTTAGAGGGCTGGCACTGGTCTGTGCAAATGCAGGAGTCACTCCTGAATCAGTGTATTTGTGGTTTAATTCATGGGCTATTAAATATGGACATCAGGCCGAAACTGCTTTGGCTCAGTGGATAGAGCTTCAGCCTGCGGACTGAAGGGTCCCAGGTTCGATTCCAGTCAAGGGCATGTACCTTGATTGTGGGCACATCCTCAGTGGGGGGTCTGCAGGATGCGGCTGATCGATGTTTCTAACTCTCTATCCATCTCTCTTCCTCTCTGCAAAAAAATCAATAAAATGTATTAAAAAAATATGGACATCAGGCTATGCTGACTAAGCTAATTTTTTGTTGTTGTTCATCCTCACCCAAGGATATATATTTTTTCCATTGATTTTTAGAGAATGGAAGGGAGGGATAGAGATAGAAACATCAATGTGAGAGATATATCGATTGTTTTCCTCCTGCGTGCTTCTGGACCAGGCCGGTAATCGAACCTGCAACCAAGGTACGTGCCCTTGACCAGAATGGAATCCGAGACCCTTTAGTCCTCAGGTCAATGGGCATTCTAACCATTGAGTACCCGACGAGGGCCTAAGCTCATTTTTTGGATAATTTTCCTACCTTTGATTTTTCTCACAGTTTTAGTTGTAAAATGTAAAAATTTATTGATATTCTTATTCCCCTTTGCTAAGTTACTGGTTGTAGCTTTTACTTAGAAGGAAACAGCTTATCTTTTTATAATAAGTGCAAACTTTTCTCCTTATAATGGAATGTAAGTAGGTATAAGAAGTCCAGAACATGTGGTTTATATTTATCTGGTTTTACTTTTCTTTCAGCATTGAAATAAAGTTCTTACATTATCTTCCAGAAGGTTACCAGTAGATATTTTATCAGAGGGCTCTTCACTGCCTTAGTCAAGGGACTGTACACTTGGAGTGAGTTTTGAGAATAGGACTTTTCCTTTGGGAGTAACAGAAAGATATGGTGTCTCTGAGAACAAAGGCAGGGCGGAAACACCCACTGCTTAAGCACATACTGGTAGATGAAATTGTGGTTTTGTCACTTACTAGGGATTGGCCTTGGGAAAGTCCCCTACTGCCTCTTTTATGAAATTAGGATGTTGTAAGGTTGATGTGAGCTTTTATATATATATATATATATATATATATATATATATATATATATATATATATATAAAAATAAGTTTTTTGGTGAGAATCTTAATAATAAAAGCATAGTACTTATTATATTAGCAGATAATAAATGGTAAATATTAATCATCATCATTGTATCATCGTCATCGTCATCGTCATCATCATTGTCATCTAGAAGAGCCAGGTCAAACTGAACGATTCTGTGTTGTGTATTGTGTGTGTGTATGCATGTGCTTTTGTTTTTGAATTACCTGTAAGAGTGATTTATTCATTAGAACTAGCTAGATGACCTTATGGATGAATTTGATCACAATAGAAATAACGATTCCCTAAGTATAGATTATCTTATGAAATTATTGAAAAAGGAAACTATTGATTATAGTCAATATTATTACTAACTTTGCAAAATAATGTATTATTGCAGTTTTTTGTTAGTATTAGTGGCTTATTGAAAGACCCCATGAAAATATGCCCTTTAGGAAGGTTTGGTTTCAGAAAAATGAAACTTAAGCTGTATAATAAGGTGAACAAGGAATACAGGAACCTAGACAACTGGAAAAATTGTCTCCAAAATTAAATGGCTGAGTGATCACCTTTGCTGAAATACTTTCATTGGCTGTATTATATGACATCCCTCAGTTGGCTGTGTTGAGGTGTGGTATCCTTTCTGAGGTCATAAATGGCATTGTCAACAAGACACAAGCAGTGATTCTGAGCTAAAGTCCATCAGCTATAAAACACATCCAAGGAACCACCAGGCTGCTGTTGGTATGGGGAGGGCAGATGCACACATTGTTCAGGTAAATAAAACCAGATTTCTATTGTCTGTCCCTGCCTGCCAGTTAGCCTGGATATTGTGTGCCATCTTGTCTGGGCTGCTAGCGTTTCTGTTGTGTGATCGGCACTCATGTGACCATTTACAGCAGTAGTAGAAATGGTGCTGGTGAGCTGAACAAATGGATGCCTTCTAAATTGGCTAAATCGTGGTTTCTACTATCAGGGAAACCTGGGACATTAGGTTTTGTTTACGGTTGACTGAGCGGTGAACGGAAGCGCTTAGCCAGCATATACCAACTGTTGTGCACAACTTGGGAGAGGGGATGGTCGATGGAGAGGACAGTCAAGAAGATGCCTCCTGAAGCAGAGCACGTATGTACGCCTGTGAAATAGTTTTTTGTGAGAATCTTAATAATAAAGACGAGTCTTAGACTTCAGGAGTTTGTGACAAGGAATGAGACCAGAGTAAAAATAAAGTTTTAAGAAATGCCAACTTTTATTTTAGCAGATAACTTATAGTATTCCAGAATAAATTTTCTGTGGAATCATAGTTACCAACTGCACCGCGGTTCTTTGCTTTAGAACCCAAACATTTTAGCTGCCATAAGTTACACTGAGATGATAAGTGTTCTTTATTATCCTCGGTTAAAACTGGCTTCATAGCAAATACTTTCTTGAGGCGGGAAGTATCTGTAGAGCATAAGGTGTGTGTGTTGTCCAGACAGGTCAGACCTCCGCCCATTCAGGAAAATAGGGTAGTGACTTCCCTGAAAGAAGTGGATGTGCCAGCTCTTTTTGTGAATAAATCTCAGGCAGGTTTTATGGGCTCTGGGTTCGAATTCTTCTTAGGTGATCACACAGTGTTATCTTTTTTTTTGTTTAGAATAATAAAAACTGGCAAAAGGTGTTTTTTTTTTTGTTTTGTTTTTTTGGTATGGAATTTAAAAAAAAATTTTTTTTAATTAAATTATTATTTTTGTACATATACCAATGACCTCTCCCTCCTCCCATACATACCCTCCCTCCCCAGAGTTTTGTGTCCATTGGTTGTACTTATATGCATGTATACAAGTCCTTCGGTTGATCTTTTATCTCCCCCAGATCTCCCTACCCTCCCCGCTGTAATTTGACAGTCTGCTTGTTGCTTTACGATCTTTATATCTATCTTTTGGTTCTTCAGTTTATAATGTTCTTTATCATCCATAAATAAGTGAGATCATGTGGTGTCTCTCTTTCATTGACTGGCTTGTTTCACTCAGCATGATGTTCTCCAATTGGTATGGAATTTTTTAATACATTTTTTAATTTTTTGGTTTCTGAAAAATAAAGAATATTTAAATCTTTGAAAAAGCTTTAAAAAATGCCATGTGTCTAAAAGCAGGAATATTTTTACAAAAGGTGAGAAGAAAGACAGTCAAAAGCTAACGCAATGCAAAGACCCTAGAAATATATACAGTGAGCACAAAAGGGTAGTTGGTCTGGAGGGTTTTCCCTTGAAACAGGGGTGTCAGGCAACTTTGGCTAGAGATAACTTTTTTAAGTTTCTTTAATGAAAGGAGCTGCAGCAATGTTAGAATTGCCACCTTGTGAAAGGATCAAGGCATGGCTTCCTGGGACTTTTTGTCTGTAAAGTGTGGACTCTCTTAGGGATAGAAATGTAAGTGTGTGGGCTCTGGGCTGTACTGGGAACCTCATTAGGAAGGGGAAAACGCAGGGGGTTGGATCACAATGTGAAGGAAACACTTGACAAAGAACCTGAAGGGGGCATGGAGTCCATTGTCATGTTGAGTGACAGGAGACTTCTAGTCCTGGCGGAGGGGATTAGTGGCTGAACAAATCTGGGAGGACAGTGCAGTTTTTGTCAGATACACAATGACATTTCTTTTTACAGCTCTCTTGACTTTATACTGTTTAAATAGCTCCGGTTGTCCTTTAATTTGCTTCTTTCTTTAAGTCCTGTTGGAAGGGAGCTTTTGTATAGTCAATTCCCGTGTTTATGTTTGTTTTTTTCATTTAATTTTATTGTTTTTGAATGGAAATACTCAAAATGAGCATGTTAGTAACTTACTTTATATTTTCTTTTCTAGGTTAACATAGTTTCATAAATACAGTCTTTATTATTTGGACTGTTCATGCAATGAAAATCCTAATTAACTTTTTTTTTTTTTTTTTTTTTTTTTAGGCTAAAAAATGGCATTTAAGAAGGCAGTAAAAGGGACTATTCTTGCTGGAGGAGGTGCTCTTGCAACAATTCTAGGCCTCTCTCAGTTTGCCCATTACAGAAGGAAGCAAGTAAGTAACAGCACATATATTGATTATACTATGAAACTTAAATCTGTGAAGGAATTGTGTGTGGGGCGTGTGTACGGTAATAAGTTTTACTTAGAAACTAGAGGCCCAGCGCATGGATTTATACATGAGTGGGATCCGGCTGGCCCGCCCCGGATCAGGGCTTATTGGGGTGGGCCAGCTAGGGGGAGAGGTCTAGGGTGGCTGGCCAGCTGGCCCTGCCCCCTGATCGAACTCCCAGTGGAAGGGACAATTTGCATATTAGCCTTATATTATATAGGATTGCTGTCTTTGTTTGATCTGAAAGACACTAATTTAGAATATTGCCTTAATGATCCTTGAGAAATGCATGTATCTGATTTAAAAAAAAAAAAAGTAAATTTCTTTATCGGAAAGCATTATATAACTTAGCCTCTGTTTGCTCTTTGGTTTTAAAAGACTGCTTCATTTCCAAGTGCCAGCGTTTGTTCATTTAGACTTCTCCTTGTTTCATTCTTCCAAATGTCTAGACACCTTCTATGTTCCTGCCAAAAGTTTGTCTTATTAGAAGGCAGGCAGCTGAAAAAGGAAATGGAAAAGAAAGAGCCTATATAAAAGGCCCAAATTTGAATCTTGGTTTTGTTTCCTAATGGTTTAGTTCATGTAGAACTACTTTATATTTGGTAAAATTTTTATGGGGGAAAGACAAGAACATGTGATTGGTATGAAGTTCCCAAATAATTTCAAGTGTTCAGTTTATTTTTATTTTATTTTTTTTCCCCTTTGGAGAAAAAAGGCACCACAACTATGCCTTCCTATAGTTTAAATTAACGCCAAGAAATAATTCTGGTGAATGGCTTTGCTTTTTTTCAGGCTTGAAATACTGGTAGCCACCTTAGTAGTCATTGTATCGATAAGTCTCTCAGGTCCTAAGGACGTTTTAGCGATGACTGCTGGGTGGTGGATTCTCTCCTCTTTTGTTTTTGGGTGGTGCATTCTCCAAGCAAGATGGAGATGCAGGAATGTGGGAAGCTATTTCTGGCTGGGTTATCTATGAACTACTCCTTTTTTTTTTTACACTTTTGTGATAACCTTTAAGCCAAGGTTGTCTTACATTGGTTGTTTTGATTGCTTTTGGCTGTAATGTGGAGAAGCCAGGCACAGGCTTGGAGTTCTGTATCCTGAATGGGAAATAATACTTTAAAAACACATATTAAGAAAAATCAATTTACTAGCTTATAGTTTAAAAAAACCTTTTTTTTTTTTTTTTTTAAATTGATTTCTGAGAGGGAAACATCAATGATAGAGAATCATTGATTGGCTGCCTCCCGCACGCCCCCTACTGGGGAATGAGATTACTTCCTGGCCACATGATCTTCTGCTTCTCAGGTCAACACTCAACCACTAATCCAGAGCTAGTTATTTTTAAAGCTTATTTTTAGTGCTTCCTCCTAAAGACGGACAATGTTGAACAGAGTACTTTTTCATTCTTCTCTTTGAGCACATTGCCTTAAGGTTTCTCCAGGAGTACATGTTACAGGTATTATTAATTGCCTAACTTGTTACTGAAACTTAACTTTACCCATTGATAATTTTTGATACACACTACTTTCTTTTAAAATGTTGTCTTGGTTCCTGAAAAGTGAATGTGAAAGGACAAAATCAAATTTATATGTGATAGTTTTCCTTCTATTCTTTCCCTTGTAAATATGAGCTAATGTAACCGACTTGGCACCTGAACACTTAGAGAACTATTCAGTCACCAAATGTGCTTTAACCATTGATCAACTCTGAGAATCGACCTATTTGTATTTAGAATACAATCCCCGACTTCATGTTAGGAGGGAAGCTTTGTGCTGGGAATCAAATGAGCACAAGCCAGGAGTGGGGAGCCAGGAGAGATAGCACTGAGGGTACAGAGCAGGCTGTTGAGGCTATTTCAGAAGTGCACTTTTGTTTGAGACTTGGACTTGACTGGATTTGGTTACTTCTGCCATCCTTACCCAGCGCTATCTGTAATGATACTGGAAAATGCCAGTGTCAAAGGTAATGACATTTAATATGATGAGTTGTTGCTAAATTTGTACATGGTTTATGACTTAACCACAGTAAGCATGTTCTACCTCAGAGCTTATAACTTAACTTTGTACCAGGGTAATATGTTGATGTTGTTGCTGTTTTTTAATGTTTTATTTCTTTTTAATTTCAAGGGATAGAACAAACAGTCGGTACTGTCTCCAGTTAGAGGTGAATTTTAATCATTAAAATAAAAGGCAAACATGGGTCTGTTGATTTCTGGGACATTTTATCATTTTCTCTTTCCTACATTAGACATCCTGACCACCCTAATAGCTAAAATGAAACAGCAGCAGTTCGAGTCATTTATAATTTTAAGCTGACAAGTGTTTTTGAGAAAAATCACCATAGGCATATTCAGTCAATGAGTTGCATATGATATGCGTCCAAGTGTGTGCATTCTTTTGTGGTGATTGCTGTCCCTTTCAGCCACTGCCGTGAGCATATTTCGGGTAGCAGGCTGAGAATGAGGGGGAGGGAGCAAGGGGGAAAAGGAGACCAACTCACTTGAGCCATTGACATAAAATGACCACAGGCTGTCCTTTCTCAGAAAATATCTACCAATCAGAACCATCCTAGGCAGGAACATTTTCTTGATTTTAATAGTCAATAAAAATCTGCCCCTTGATATCCATTGTTTGGCTGAAGTTTGTAGAAGTTTGGCCTTAAATGTGACTAGGCATGCTCCTTTTTTTTTTTTTTTTCCTTTAAACAGAGCAATACTTTGTAGTATTGACTTATATGTGTGTGTGTGTGTGTGTGTGTGTGTGTGTGTATTTATTTCAGTTTTCTAAGATGATTACAACTATCAAACTCTCCTCCTTTAAGAATAAGTTGCTGTTGAAAGCCCAAAATGATGATTCCTGAGAAAGCTGTCTCTTGAATTTAAGTTAAGGCACATTTTGCTGGCATTTCTGTCTCCCCTGCCCCCTAGCTTGTGCTCACTTGATATTTCCAGTACAAAGCTTCCTTCCTAAAATGCAGACGGGGGTTGTATTCCAGATACAAATGGGTTGATTCTAAAAGCTGATCAATTGTTAAAGCACATTTGGTGATGGCATACTTCTGTAAGTGTTCAGGTGCCAAGTCGGTTATATTTGCAAGGGAAAGAATTTTTAGAAGTGAAACTATCACATATACTACTTTTCTCTGCTTAATTGAACAGAAAACAATGAAATTGAGTAAGAGGTGGTTCACTTCCCTCGTACCCGGTTACTTGAATAGGTGAGGAAATAGAGACATTTGTGCAGAGGCTGGCAATTCTGGGGGCAGGTTGGGGGGGAGGGGGATAGTAATGGTTTTTTGGTCTCACTTTACTTTGTAGCATGGCTTTTCTTTTTACTAGCATGTTGATTACATTTCTATTATGTTTTCAATGGTGAATAGTGTCCACTGTTAACTCGGGTTAAGCCTAGAGATTTACTTTTCTCTTTTGAGATAAATGAAGTCAGATTTAGAAGGATGGAGATCATGATGTAAGGAGAGAGCGATTATTACCATTATTATATTTTCTTTCGGAACTAGGCAAACTAAATCTTCATTTCCTGTGAGGAAGCTGATAGAGGAAAGGAGATGGAATGGTGGCTGACTTTTCACTGTGTCCACCTGCAGGGGAGGAGGTCTGTGGTCACACTGCACCCCCATTCCTGGACCCCTCCGTTACGCATGCAGTGGTTGAGTGGTCTTGAAGAGGCTTTCTGTTCATTTCCCCACTTCTTTTGTTTCCTCACCCATACGTAGGTGACTAAGTTTCCGCAAAAAGCTTCTTGATTTTTCCTCTCCCCAGACCAGCCATATGTCAAGGGACAGGAAGCTGAATAGTAGGGTATACACATCCCAGCTCTATCTTAAGTCCCACCAGGGATGTAGCAAGCAACCAGCTTCTGCAGTGCTGTGCAGATTCTCAGGAGCAAGGCATTTGTCACTTCCTATTTAGTAGACGTCTGTTTAATAATAAACTGTTAATGGGAAGGGACATAGAAGACATCCAATCTTCCTCTCAGTACAGGATGTTCAGCATGTGGTTCTTTAATATCTAATGAAAGGAAAGGGTTACTTATGGGAGACCTCTGCCCTCACTCCCCTTCTAATTCCAAGCTGATAGGAGAATGGAACTGATGAATAGGAGGGTTTCTATCAAGAGTGAGGGCCTTGGGTAGTTTTTAGCCACTGAACAACTTTAGTGGCAGAGTGGAGAGTGTAAAAGTTAGGGCTGCCTGAGGGTTCTCAGAGGGGTGGGGAGAATGGAGTAGGCAGGAAGAAAATGGAGGCAAAGATAGGGTGGGAATGCAAAGATTTAATGAGGGGCCCCCTAGGCTTTTGACTTTTCATAATAGACCAAGGCACTTTTTGAAAAGCTTTTTAAAAAATAACAACATTTATTTCATACCTTCTGGGACCTAACTGGAAACATTGGTGTGATAGTGTGGGTTTCTTTTCAACCCCAGTGGTATGGCTGATGTAATCAAGACCTATTTAGGTCCGAGGGTGGGCCCTCTCACGTAACACATATGGGGCTTGTTCCTTCCATTACCCACTCTTGAGGTGTGGTGGGCTTTGTGAACCAATGCTGAGGTGGAACCTGAGAACCACTCAGAGCTTTCTCAAAGCCCGGATGTGAAAATCTTTTCTTTTTTGCACCAGACGTAGGCAGGGAGTGCGCTTAAGAGCATGGAAATCAAAGTCTCTTATCAGTGTAAGGAGTGGTCTTAAGATCAAAGAATTGAGAGGTTCCAGAGATTGATGTTTTATTCCTGAGCAACATAACAGAGAGGACAAGAGCATGATCTTTGATGCAGTCTTTGCAGGCTGCCTGTATCTAATACTGCTTCTTAAAAATTAAGTGACTATGGGAAAAATTATTAAATTCTTTCAGCCTCATCCCCTCCTACCCCCTGTAAAATGAGGAGAGGAATGGTATAGTACGTCTTTGCTGGGTCCTGTGACTT